TTAAAACACATAACTTTAAGGATTCTTAATTTGCCTCCTCACAGGGAACATCTGGAGAGTAGCGGTGAGGAAGTGATTGGAGGGAAGGCTTTTTCAGGCATCCCAGATTCTCAGTTGCTCTTGGATTGATGTCCTGGAGAGTCCCAGCAAACACCTACCAGGGTTCAGTTTACCAAGGGTTAGCCATTGGCCACATGGCCCCTGCAAATGAAGGAACCTCACCCAGTGCCTGGATTGTACCTCCCATTTGCAGTCTCATCCAAGAAGGAAGCCTTTGATGGAAGCTCTTATATAGGATGGGAACTGGAGACACCCTAATTTGTGAACGCTTTCAGTGGCACCCACTGAGTGCTGTTGGAGGGGCTTCCAGACCCACCCAGCACAGCTGTAGCTCACTGCTATTCAGCAAATGGGGGAGCTTGACTCCCCCAAGCCCATGATCTCCCTTGATGCTGCTGGATGAATGATGAAACTATTTGGCTATGCATGCAGAGTAGTAGCCAGATCATCCTGGCTATGGCTGGACCGGCAGGGGTTTTTTTGGTGGAAACCATTCAGGGCTTCATAGCAAAGAGCAGAAAATAGCCAGTTATTAATCTAAAAGGTCAGAGGTCTCATTAAACCCCAAAAGATCACAAATAATTGATAAGTGGCACTCACAGCAGGGCTGGCAATGAACAAGCCACATGTAGCTAAACCCAAGCACCAGCAAAGCTCTGGACTCAAAGAACAAACATCCCAATATGTTCTCCTGGGCTCTCCCAAATGCTGTGACCCCCCCACTGGGAAATGATGAGCTCTCTCAACAAGACTGAGATGAAAACAGTTTGTTTTCCCCTCCTTTTCGGTGTGGTGCTTTGCTCTGTTTTATTGAGAACAAGCCTCGTGGTTTGGACCTGGTTGCAAAATAAAACCCAACAAGGGCTGGAAATCTGGAGCTTGTCTGCTGAGCGTGCTTCGAGCCCTGCCTTTGCCACGTCCCCATCCAGTGGGATGAATCCTGCCTCGGCAGGTACGAACCTGTGAGATTACACTAGGGAAAGCCCAGACAGACAGACGTGCTGTCAAAGAGGGTACTCACCAGCTGGGAACAATGCTGGAAAGGAGACTGCCACTTGTGGCTAACCCCAAACCTGATTTTGTCCCACTGTCTTGTGGCCAACATCCCCCGGCCACCTTAGGCCACTTGCCCTGGTTTCAAAAGCCTCCAGTGGGGACCACAGCCCTGTGTCCCCACTGGAGGCACTGCATGGCTCTGGGAGAGCAGCTTTTGAGCGGGGGGGTGGGGGGTATGGATGATTTTGCTGGCACGGCCCTGGATAGCCTTGGAAGCCGCTCTCTGTACACGGTGACCACACGTTCATTAGCCTCAGGCTGCCTCAGTTTGCTTTTCAACCCTTCCCTTCATTTTGGGACCCACATTCACAAACAGACCAGCTGAGCCAGTCGTCACCAAGTGCGTTTCTCAGTGTCTTTGCTTTCACTCAGTAGAGCCATCATGCCCGCTGGTAATTACTAACTCAACACGGTTAAGCTCCAGTTTTCATCTTAAGCCTGGCAAGCATCTGATACCTGCCCCCAAAGGGGCTTGGGCATCCTTGGGATCATCCCCAGGTCGTGTCAGAGCGAGTCCCCTCCTTGCACCCCAGTACTCTGCCTGGATTGAAGCACAAAGCTGATGGAAGGATTAGACCCAGCCCAAAACTTCTCATCCAAAACACTCATGGGAGGGCAGGGAGAGAACACGGGGGCAGGAGATGATGAGCATGAGAAACATCCCGGTTTGCAGCCAGAAAATGGAAAACTTTGCGGGGCGTTTGCTTTGTTGATGCCAAGCCAACAAACCAGCCCTGCTGGAGGCAGCAGATGGTTTCACGAGGGACAGAGCAAGTGCTCGCAGGACTAAAAATAAACCCACCGCTCCCAGCAGTGCTCGCACGTAAAGGGCTGGGCTGGACTCTAGCTGGCGTCTGCAAACTCCCAACACAGGAACTGGTGGCGTCACTGCAAACCTGCCCCGGGGATCTCCCTGACCGCCTGCCTCTACCTATCCATACCTTCTCCTAAGCCTGATTTCGTGCTTCCCCAGGCAGAGCCAGATTTGGCATGGGGGTGTTTCCAGCCGGCAGCTTTGTACATAGCCTCTGGCCCCCATGGTGGTATTAGAAAGTCAGATGTTTTCTCCAAAAAGCAGGCAGAGCCCCGGCAGACGTCCAAGCCTAGCACTGGGGACCAACCTCCTCTGCAGTTTGCCCATCCAAGGAGCACCTTCTGCACCAGGCTCTGAATAGCCTCATGGGGTACAGCTCCAGATAGGGCTTTAAATACCAAACCACTGCGCAACCTAGCAGGTAACTCAGGTCTTGTGCAAGAAACCTCATGCCAAGAAACATGAGAGAGGGGAAGTCATCCATGCCAGTTGGGGAGGAGCAGGAAGAAAGCCCCTTCCAGCATCTGCAGCCTCATAACCCCCAGAATGGGTTTGGCACCCTCTGCTTAAAAATGTACCTCCTGCTGGGGCTGCTTTGGGCAGCTGCCAGCTCAGCAAAGGCCTCAGAGCCTACAAACGCTCCCTTGGTTCACTGGGAAAAATGCAGCTGGCTCTTCGCAAACGTGCAACCCACTTTGGCTGCAGCTGGGGGACAGAAAAATGCAGATGTTGGTGCTGGGGAATGACATGGTTGCTGGCTCAGCACTGTTTATGTCTCTATCAGAATGGAGGGGGCCATCTGCTAACATCTCTCTGCTTGCTGACAGCCTCAGATGTGCCCCCACAGTCAAATGAAACCTCCAAGCTCTGGCAGGGCTATTTCTGTCCTGGTTTTGCATGAGGAATGTATTTTTACAGCCTCTCCTCCCTGCCCATCTGGGTCAGGCTGGGAGCACTCCTACCCACCCCAAGCTGCTAGGATCCAGCAGCTACTGGGGCTGTTGAAGCCATGCAGCGGCTTGGGAACTTTGAGATGTCTGGAGGTGTCCAAACTCCACAGGCAATTGTGGGAGGAGACAGAGACACGTCCACTTCTCAAAGAGCCTGCCTGAGCCCCACCACCAGCACTGGATCATCCCATCCCATCCCAATCAATTCCCAAGAAGGCTGAGCCCAACTTCTCCCCAGAGAGCTCCTCTAGTCCCCTCCTCCCTTCCAAGCTTGGCAATACTTCATCTCAAACACATTTTCCTCTTGCTACCAGCCCCCTGCAGGGGAACGTCTGTGGAGGCTTTGAGCACCTCCTTTGCAGTGATTTCCAAGCCCAGGTTAGAGAAGCATTGCATTACAGCTCAAGACCCCTTTTCCTCCCAAGCCCAGCAGACATGGTTGGAGGAGAGCATGAGGCTCTCCACACTTGTGGTGCTCTCCTGCCCTAAGAAACAGCTTCTAACTCAAGGCACCTGTCTTTCCTCAACTGCAGGTAAGGGCCATCACCTTGGCCGCTTCTGTAAAGCACTTGGAGATGGAAAAAAGCCATAATTATTATTTAACAGGCAGAAAAGGAGCCCACAGCCACCTACCGACCCAGGTCTGCAGGTGCCAGAGCTACCCTGCCACCACCTCCAACCAAATAAATTTGGCTAAGGATGATATATAGCACTTCAAGCATCTCAAAAACTTTATTAACACATGATTGGATATGCTGCTGCTGCTGCTTTCCCAACGGCAAAGCACCAGGCTCCCCCCATCCAGCTTAGAGACCTCAAAATGCGTGGAGTTTAAGTCCTTGCAGAGGCCACCCAGTCACCCACCATCTTATTTAATGTGAGAAGGGGATTTCTCATCCCAGCAGCATTAATTCAGAGAGCTGCTCTGTCCCAAACCTGCTCCCTGATGCTTCTGGAGTATCCTTGGGTCCCAAAACCAGGCAGCCTCTGCCTCCCGTGCCTGCTGTAAGCTTGTTCACTTAGCATGTTGTGACTCTGTCCCTTAACCCACAGGATTTTCCTTCCCAACCTAGCCATTCAGGATGTAAATTAAGAGGGAATTCAGGGGATTCAAAGTTTTTCACGTGCTGAAAAGGAGAAGGGATTCTCCAATACGCCGCTGAGTCACTGTGCAACGAGCATTTTGGAGGTAGAGCAGATGCTGGGAGGCGGGGGGAACATCTGCCCATCTCCCAGCACCCAGGAAGGCTGATCGCAGGATGTCTTGGACATGCTGCTATTGTTTGCTTTGGAGAAAAGAAGGAGCATTCCCCCCTCCCTGCCTCCCCTCCACCCTGGGGGGCTGCAGATGGAGCAGCAGAAGGAAACTACCCAGCTCCTTCTTGAACGGAGAGGTTTGTAAGAACAGCACAGACACGGTTACAAAACACAGCTAGAGCTCCCCAGCAAGGTCTGCAGATGGAGGGCTCACCCCGTATTTTACCTGTGCAACAGCTTCACTGCTGTGAAGCCACAAAAGCTTTCAAAGGACTCTGGAAGCTTGGCTGGGAGAGAAGTCAGGCAGGCAGGGAAAAAAGTGTTAAATGAAAAGAGACAGGGTTAGTAAAGCTCAATTTTAGGAAATCAGATATTCCCCTGAAAAACATGCATGTGGCTGTGGCTTTGCTCGTGCTGCTTTGGGGAGCGAGCTGTAGGCTCTGCCCAGGGCAGAGCGTCGCTGCAGGCCTCCCCCCAGGCTCCCCAGGTACTGTGCACTGCATCTCTCTCCACCCAGGCTTGCTCACAAAACAGCCTCCCCCAAGCCCAAATAAAGACTTGCTGATCAATTCCATTAACTCCCAGCGAAATGAGACCTCTGTGCCAAATACACACCGTGCTGCAAGGTGCCAGGGGCGTAAGCAGCGGCAAGGGTCAGCGTAAAACCTTCCTGGCTTGGGAGACAGCAGATAGCTAAACGCAGAATTGATAGAGAAAGTCAGTATCTGCTCGGCCAGGCTGGGGCTGGTCCCGTTGGGGACTGGGCACATGGAAAGCTCGGGCAGCAGAAGCTCTCCAAAGAGGGGAAAGCCTTCCACATCTTCGGGAACGAAGCGCAACACGTGGTGGGTCTGAAGAGCACGCTATGGTCCTGCCAGTGCCATCCCACTGCTGCTTCCAGAAGGGTGGCCCCCAAAGTCCCACTCCTGGGGGGTTGTGGCCTGGATAAGTGTAGGAGTGAAGCGAGCACGAGGACTGCGGCTTGTAACAGCCAGGCTGGAGGCAGCGTGATGATGCTCCAGAAACACTTTTGGGGATAAACATCAACGGGCATGAAGGTAAAAGGCACTAAGAGGAGAACGTCAAATGGAAACGAGCGGATCACACAGAATCATGAATAAGCACCGGCTCCAGCTCAGCTGCACACCAGCAGCCGGACATGGCTCATGGCACAAACACCAGCCCAGTGACCACAGCAGCTCTGTACTGGTACGCTGCGTCTCCCAGTCCCCTCCTTGTACCTGCAAACAGGGCACACAGCACCACAGCCCTACCTGTTTTTTTGGCAGCCTGATGATTGTTCAATAAACTCACCATCTACGCCTCGCTGTGAAGCAACACCAGGCACCATGTTTTTACCGAAGCACGTTACACCTGAGTGCTGCAATCACCTTCCCCCGACCATGGTGAGAGGCAAGCAGAGCAGCTCTGGTCCCCACGCACTGGAGCCAGTGCCCGGACACTGCCACCCCATCCCAGCTTTGCGGCCGCACAAGGAGCGGGGTTGCAGCATGCTCCGCTGTGCCTGACAATCAGCTCCGTAGCTAGGGTCCTAATTAGGACCGCTCTCTGAGTCGAACCCAGCCGGTACGTGGGTCAGGAGTCCTTTGGCCTCATCTCTCTTCCCAGTGCGACACCTCCTTGCTGTGTCCTGGCTCTCACTACCTGCCAAAAGGGCACATGATAACGGAGATGGCCCTGCCCGTCCCTCCAGAACCACGCCTGCCCTGCGCACTGTGGCATCTGCTTTCCCACGGGACATGGCCTGAGGCACCTTTTGGAGACACCCACACTTCTCTCTAGGCACTGGGGGATCCTCCTGCCAGAGACAGGGTCCCCCACACGTGGGGTGGGAGCTCTGCAGGGAGGAAAGCAATTTGGGAGACCGAAATGAAAAATGCCACGGCCTTCAGCCTGCCCAGGCAGGACTCCACCAGCCCACCTCTGTCAATGCCACCCACCTCCTGCCCAGCACTGGCCCAGCAGAGCTCCTGCCTTGCTGTGTCCCCCACCCATGGGTGATCCATGACGCCTTGCCCCTGCTCCCCCCTAGCTCACAGCATGGCCTGAGTGGGAACCCTGACCACCAATTAACAAAAATACCATCAAATCCACTGGTTGGAAGTGTCCTGCCTCATCAGCTTAATAAGGTACTCACTTAAAAAAAAAGAAAAAAAAAAGCCCCCAAACAGGCATTGCTTTCAGACAGCTGGCTCCTACCTCAGTGTCAACAAGTAATTCACTGGCAGTTATATTTACATAGTTTATTTTATGCCTTCTTGTAATGCATGGGATAACTACAACATAACAGCAAAAACTCAAACACCCCCATCCCAGCAAAAAAACCTAAGTGACTACAAACGATCAGAGTATCAGCTCGATGGATAAATCACTATGTTCCTTCCCAGGCACGACAGGATGCCAAAATTAAAAACTCATGATATCCTTTTAGGTTTCATGACTATGTTCAGCTGTATGCAAAATATCTTGCTAGTGATGTCTGGAAAAAGCCCACTATTTATTTATTATGCTGTGTGTACTGAAATATAGGGCAATAACCGTTCCAGGAGCAGGGTCCTACTGGATGAAGTCCCAATTCTCTACAGCGAGTTAATAAATCAGATTAAAGGCAGTTAGGTTCTGTGGGGAAAGGACAACTCCAGTTTTAAATACAAAGGTGATCAGTTTTGTGAGGATTTGAGGGATTTAACAAACAGGGAAGTGCTTTGGGATGGTGTAAGCACTACATTACTGCAAGATACAGCAACTTTTGATACACAAAAGTATCAACTGATTGCGTCAACGAGCCCACAGAAAACAGTTTCCCCAGCCCCCCTGGCTGGATCCCTGCCGTGCTCAGGCGATGCCTGAGTAGCAGAGATACCGCTGCACTACGTCATTCCTCTTCCAAGTTCAATATTTAATGAAGCACTGACAATGTAACAGCCAAGCCCTCCCCAAATGAAAGAGAGTTTAACATTATTCTGACACAGGTTTTCACCTAATGGTTCATGTAAGATGCAGAATATTTGATTAAAATCAAAATGCAAAATAAATGCTGGTATTGTGCAACCTGTAGCCCAGTGCAGGTCAGTCATGGTTAGCCAGGTCACAAGGGATTAACTTTTTTCCATATAGTATTGCTGTTAAATAATATTAACTACTAAATACACTGAAATAGGCTGTTCAAAGAGCCGGGACCCTGGTCCAGTTTCTCTCCTCGCCTCAGTTTCCCAGATGTAACAGCACGAGTTATGGCTTGCCTTCGTTATCCATCAGCAGCTGCCAAGCACATCTCCAGGAACAGGACTTACCCTACCTGTCCCTAGCCTTGATTCTGCATAGGGCAGAATGACAAATACTTTTCTTTCCCCAAGAAAATCCATTTAGTAAGTAAAATGAGAATCAAAACCAGCTGAGAAGGGAGGAAGGAGAAAGCAAATCAAAACCCAGGCACGCTGAAACCCAACTGCTGGCTGGCTGCAAATCAGGAGGGAAAAATCTGCCATGAGCAGTTAGTTATAAAGATAATTATATCCTTAACAAATAGCGGGGTCTTTTAAAAAATAATTCGCCTTGATTAAATTAATGGAGGAGAAACACAGGAGACACATGCTGGAGATCAGCGACGGTACAGCCCTGACTTCTCCTGCTTCACCCACTCCTAGTTCAAAAGGGTGACCATTATCAGCATCAAATACCCGCTCGCTGGCATAGGTGAGCTGAACCAGGGATCCCCACTGAATTCTGCACACCCATCTTTTGCAAACAGCCCAGGTGGTTGGCAGCAGCTTCCAGGGGCTGAAGGGATGCCACCCCCAGGAAGCAGCCACATGTCTCCTGCCTACCAGGGGAGGACAGTGGTTTCCAGCACCGTCACCCCAACACCTTAACCTGGCACTAGAGCCATGCTTTAGAGTTGGTTTCAAAACATCAGCAAAGCACAGGATGCTGAAAGAGGCCAGATGGCAGCTGGGCCTCAAAGCCGGGCTGGCTTTGTTGCACAAAGCCATGGAGAGATGAGGGGCCACCAAGCTCAAGATCTCAAGAATGTGGTAAAGGTGAACGTGCTTTTCTCCCCCTGCCCCCCAGACTATTTTTTTCCTTCAGCTATTTCAGTTGATTGAGGCTATAATAAGAACAGGGAAGGTAACACCGAGGTTAAAAGTGCCCGGCATCGGTTTGGAGACAACACACTTCAATCCTTTTGGTTCAGGTTTCAACAGGTTTGTGTGCATTAAACGTGGATTATTCTGGTACGTGGGACTATGAACCATTTTATGGAACTACCTTCGATATAAAGAAGTCAGTTCCCAGGCAAATGTTACTCATTCAAACAGATTGCCTATGAAGAGACACATAAATAAATAAATACTAAAACCCAAAATAAGTAGTTGCGCTGCCTTGGTGCATTCATCACAGGCTGCAAAGAACAGGAGCTTGATGAAATACTTTCAATATACAGTTTCAAGACTGAAGTCTGTTGCTGAGCCACACGAGCAGCCTGGGAATAATTTATTTTCCCTTTTAGCAGAGGTTCCTCAATGCAGTTTTCTTTCCTTCCAGCTGAATAACATGCAGAGATGGCACTTCTACTGCAACTCACCCACACAGAGCTCTGCCATTTTCCCAACAAACGTTACCCAAAGGATATGGGGAAGCCCAAATGGATTGTATCCCGCCCTTGGCTGAAATCCAGCGCTGCTGGAGGTTTTCACCCAGGCTGCTGCCCGTCTCCCAGTGCACGCAGAGCCCCACTGGGATGCTTTCCCCGAGTTGTCAGGCTGTGGTTTTAAATCCTCAAAACCTCAAGTTGTAGAGGTACAGAGACAAGGGACTAAAGCCATTAAGCATGTTCATCACTGGATTTGCTGATTAAAAGCAGCAAGCTCATAGGCAGCATCCGCGGCAGCACAGCGGCCGAGCAACGGCTCCCCAGACTCAGGATTCCCTGGTACACATCTATCCACAGTGGGAATTTGCCCAGCAAACCCTAGCCACGATGATCTTTTAGAAGAGAAAAAGGTACTTAGGTCTTTAACCAAGTTGAAACACGCTGCATATCCCCTACAAGCAGTTTTTCATGCTCCTCTCCCTCAATCCCAGTGCTGCCCCGTGGTGTTTTCAGTCCTCGCTCGGTGTAGGCTCTGTGCCGGCAAGGGCTGCGATCCCAACCATTGCTTTGGGGCCAAAACATCCACCAAACATGCCTGTTTTTACTGATGGTGCCAGACTTTACAGCCGGTTAGGGAGGCAGAAGGAACTTGCTAGCGCAGAGCAGTAACTCCGTATTTCCACCTGCAGGTTTCCGAGACCTCCCTCAACTCTGTAATGACCCAATATTGATTTCCAGCCCTATGAAAATATGAAGGATGCCAACCCTGAGGTCTCTAATTTCATTCCAGGTCACGGCATTTATATTTTCATTACCCACAACCTCCAAGGTCATTACAAATACGTGCCATGCTTAATGGCTGTTTAATTCAACAGCATTTCAGAGTTAATAAATGCAATTCAATTTCTCAAAGCCAAGTGGCTTCCTGACTGGAGAGCACAGCCTGCAGCCAGCCGACCAAACCCATACACGACCCGTTTCTATAGGAATAGAGCTGGTATGCATGGGATCAGTATCTGAAATTACACAGTGGAAGTAATTTATTTTTCACTACTCACATGCTTTTCTTTCATTGCATAGGAAGCCTCGAGTCCTCTCCATCTCAGAGATATTCTGAAAGGGAGGAGGAACGTTTTGCTTTATTGTCAGGGATTTATAACACGATACGCTCTAAGTATTTAGGAGGATTTTCCCAGAGACACGGTAGGCTTCGATTAGTCTTTAAAGCAAGACTAAGTATTTTTCTAGAAGAGGTGCTTGAGCTCAAATCACACACAGGCATTACTTGAGTGTGTTTTGGGGCAAAGGAAGACACAAATAACCCTAACGCACCACAAAATTTTGCTGTAGCAGTGCAGCTGCCTGTCTCGCAAAGCTGCTCCTGCTGACAGGCAGAGGTTTCCCTTTCTTGTTACTTTTAGTGTTTATCTTTTCTTACTGCTATATTTTTGAGTCCAGGAAATTCAAGAGGCAAACCAACTACAGCCTGCAAAGCACCAATTGGTGGTATCAGGGTGTGAGGTATAATGGTTTAAGGATGGTGACAGGGTAAAGTGAATACACAGGCACCCAGGCATATACAGAAAACCCAAAGCATCTCCTCTCACTGCTGCCTCCTTTCCCGGATCTTTTGTTGGACCGAAGTCCAGGGATCAAAGTTGTGATGCTTATATGTGAAGTTAAGACAATTTAAACTACTCCAAAGAACTCCAAAGGTTTTAAGTTTCTACCTTTTCTCCCAACTCCAGGGGTCCCAGGAGCTGAACAGAGGATACGAAAGCACTTATAATTTCCTATTTTCCAGGAAAGATCACAAATAGCATCAATGCTTTGTTTTTTAAGAAAGCAACATCTTCTGTAAAATATGCAAATGCAATGTTGTACAGCACAGACAGAAGATGGAGAGAATCAATACAATATTAATGTTTTACTGGCCTTACCTGCAATTCCCTCTTATCTCTTGCAATAATACAGCCATCTAAATCCAAGAGAAATCAAAGTAGCCTAGCACAGCACTGCGTGCAACCAGAAATAGGCACAGGAAGTGACAGCAAATGCCGGCGTGGGGAACATCCATCCCTGGGGGATCTCCAGCCACCCACTAGCATGATCGTGAGAGGCACTGCAGCTCTGAAAGCCAGCACCCCTGGTACGCCCGCGGGGCACGGGAGGGATGCTGCTGGCACAGCCCTGCACCGCGCTCCAGCAAGCGACACAGCAGACATGTCATCCGTGTGGACCCATCTCTCTGCAAACCTGCCTGGGGCCTAGCAGAAATACCAGGGTTTTCCTGTTAACTCTCAGCTGCACAACGTTGACCTGGCTCCTGCGCCATAATCCCGCTCCAACCATCATCACCAGCAATAACGAGTCTCCTTGTGAAATCCAGCCCTCAGGTAACTCCTTAAATGCCAAAACAAGACTGCAGAGCAGAGTGTGGTGCTGATCATCACCGCTCCTGGTAACAATGAGCAAAAGCATGGCTCATTCCCTCCTCTCTAAGCAGCCTCTGCAGGGAACCGCAGCCAAAAACCAGAAAAAGCCTAATTTTACCTCTGATGGAAGCAGTTACCTTGGGATATAGCTGGATCTCAGGCCTGCTGAATGAGACCAGGGTTAGTTTTAGGCAGTTGATACCCTAACCGTCATTGCTTTTTGAGGACTCCACAGCCAGTTGCAAAGTTACTTAAAACTTGAGCTTTAAGAGAAAGGTTTTTCTTGCATAGCAGGAAAGCTCAGCTGATCCTGCCAGGATCTGAACCCTGACTTTGGTATGGTGGCAGAGAGAGGGTCTGTGTCATCCTCTCGTGGCCCAGGCCACATGCTAATTAATTTAGGAGTCAACAGCTCCGAGCCGCCAGGGAAAGCTCTCCAGTTGGGCAGTACGGCTCACGCAGCTTTAGGCCAGGGGCTCAGTCCCACCATCAAAATGTCCTGCACAGGCTGTGCTCTGACTTGAAGAGGAAATGACCAACTCAAAGGCACAATGAAGCACTATCAGCCTTAATCTTGCTCCCCATTTTATTCTAGACGCCATCTGGACACCTCAGACAGTATCCATTTCTTCTGAAACAGAAAGACGGCCTCCCCAGACCACTTCTGCATCCTGCTGTGGACTGCAGTGGCAGACCGCAGCTAAACGCAGCAAGAAGGAGCTGGGGCAGGACGGGGCTTGGTGGAGGCCCCTGAGCTCAAGTCGAGCTGTCTACAGAGATGGATGCAGCTCCAGAAATACAGCTTGGGGGGGGGGAGGGACACGACGGACACAGCATCATAAGCCACCACCCAACTCTCATTGTTCATAAAGCTCTCAACAATTTGCGAGGGAAAGTGCTTTAGTGACAAAGGAAGCTGTCCACGAGTGCATCCCAAGGCAGCAGCAGGGCTCATGAGCCAGCAGTAAAAACACCACCACACAGCCGTCCTCCCTACCTGCTGCCTTTCCAAAGCCACTCTGCAATGGTGCGTGGCAAGATTTACAGGAACAGACACGATGCTCCCCATGTGAGTGTTAAGGCCTGATGTGAGCAGAGGCACTCTGGGTTTGTGTGTCACCTCAGTGCTCATGTTACCAAGAACCTGGCACATTTATTAGCAGAGGGTTTTTTCCCCCTTTTATCTTTCCCTTTTTTAAAAAATAATTGTTTTCATTTTAAAACACCTGCGTCCTCCAAAGCCACAGCAACCTCAACATTCATGACTCCACCGTGACTTGTGGGGTGTCTCAGTTGTCACCTGCAATTTCAGTGCAGCCCTGGCTGCGCGTGGGGCTGTAAAGCAGAAAGACCCAAATAGTGGGTTTAAATACTGCAGAACATGCTAAAAAAAAAAAAAATTTAAAAAAAAAAAATCACAGGAGCAGGATGCAGCAAAAGACAAATGCATCCACCACTCAACACCATGATTAGCTGTCATCAGTTAAGTGGCTTGCACAGAGGCAGACGTCCCGCTGTGACCGAGCCTACTGGAGATGGAAAAGAGCAGCTTGGAATATCACCAACTCCTGCTCTCCTCACTTTCAAAAGTTACTGTGCCCAAACTGAGAGAAGAAAGGGGCAGGAAAAAGGACTGGGAAAACACAGCAAAGAGAAATCTTAACTAAGCAGGAATTAGTGCTAACTGGCAGCAAAATCAGCCACAGCTTTCTGCGTGGGACTGCTCCCTCCTCAGCCAGGGACCCAGAGCCTTTCCCTGCAACCAAGCATGGAGAACGTGCTTCATCTAATGGCACAGCTTCTCCTCCCTGTGAATAACTGCCAGCTAAAGAGTAGTAAATAGTTAATTACATGGTACAGAAAAGACCATTACACGCACAACAGCTCAATGCATTATTCACCAGGGTTCAGGGGAGAAAACTGGCACAGGAGAAGGGGAAGAAGGAAAACATCTACATTTCCTCAAAGAGCTTTCATGCAAGATCAGTGTTAGAGCGAGGGTACGTGGTTTCCCTTTTAAATAACCTTAAATGAACACCTATCTCAAGAGAGTACCAATATGTGATCCTTCTGAGCTTTCTGCTGCGGACATTCAGGTTACAAGCACTGCACGTCTCTACCTGTTGCATCCGAAATGCTAGGGACATCAAGGAAACCAGGGCACGCTGCGCTCTGTGAAAATAATCAAGCAAAGCAAGAATTTCCAACCTGATTTTAAGTCGATCATTTGTAAAACCCAGAACGTCCAACCTCAGCTTTGAAACGCTTGAAGGAGCACTTCCACGTCCTCTCCCTCTGGCTCAGAAATGGGAAAATAGAGCAGTCTTTTAGTAATTAATTGCTACTTTTGAAACAACTGCTGCTCCGGGGCTTCCAGAGGAGATTGTCTTGCTGTTATAGCCCTGCATGAATGCTGCAAATGTTAACAACATGCCTGCCCGGCAGCGGCACCCACCCG